TTAAATTAGAATTCCACATTTTGTTTTTAATGCTTTCATAGTAAAGAATACTGTACAATAAGAAATATACTTAAATATCATCATTTAGCTCAAAAGACTTAGGCATAAGATAAAGAAAAGCACTGTACCCAATAAACATCAAAAAGAATTCTAGAAACAACTTTAATGAAAGAAATGGGAAAAAAAGACTATCTTTCCTCCAAAACACTATAAAAATGCAATTTTCTTTATTAAAATTACTTAGGTTTTCAAAAAGTAGACTGTGAATTTTTAAACAGTACTCCAAGAAACAATACAAACTACTAAATAACCAGTGAATATTTTAAAGGAAGTTTACAGACTTAAAATAGCGTATCAAGCATAATGATGTTAAAGAAAATACGTAACTATGGCAATTAGCACCCTAAAATTATCTAGCTTTCTGATCCTGCCCCTGCGAATTTCTGTGTCTCAGATCTCAGTATCTTACCTGTAGAAGAAGAGGTATAAATGTTTCTATTTCCAGGATCTGAGCAGCCTCCTCCATTAAAATGTTGTCATACTGAGAAAGGGAGAAAAAAGAAAGTCTGTGAGCAAGACAGCCTGAAAGCCAAACATACCATCATAACCACAGCCATGCAAAACAACATCTAAATAATTTCAGATAAAAGTAATAAATCATTCAAACAGAAAGTTCACGATCTTATTTATGACTGTGCCTCTGCTTCTCCAAATTGTCTTTAACCTCAGGGAAGCCCCCTAAATATGTAACTCAACCTTGAGGAGATCCTGTATATCATTTCTTGGACAACAATATCAATTCAGTTCTTTAAATTCTACATAAGCAAATCAACTTATAATTATATATGAGGTCACTTTCATTGGTACTTCTTTTAATTTTTTTAAAAAAAATTTACATTCAATATTATTTTGTAGTAGTTTTAGGGGTACAGCATAGTGGCTAGCCAATGATATGTTTAACCCTTGGCAGTTCCAGTACCCAACTGGCACGCACCATACACAGTTATTACAATATTATTCACTATATTTCCTATGCTGTACTTTATATCCCCATGACTATTCTGTAACAACTAATTTGTAATTCTCATCCACCAGTACTCTTATCATAGGTAGTATTTCCGGGTGAGTTTTTTTCCTTATGAATCCTACCCAGCACTCAACAATCTTTGATTCAGCCCCTGGCACTCAATATATCAACAAAGTATGTCAATTTTACCTTAAAAAACTCCCTCTTGAACCTATTTATTTTTCTCCATTTCTACTACCATTATCCCTCTAGTC